TGAAGTAAATTATTTTATGAAATAAAAAAAAACGATCAATTAATATGTATATAAAAGGTATTATTTAATGAATTAACAAATTTAGATCAAAGAATTATAGACAATGCATAGAATACAAAAAACAAAGCATATACGTTATTCTTATAATTAAATTATATAATAGCGTGTTTAATCTCGTTTTCTAAAAATTTTATTCATGTAAGGCGCCTTAACAGTAATATAAAAAGGTACACTTTTCCATTTATACTTTATGATAAAAATAAAAGTGCATATTGTTATTGGAACAAGTACATACAGTATTATGCTGGTAAATAATACAACTAATCGCATATAAGATTCACAGGTTTAACAAGTAGGAGTCTCACTATGGAGAGGTAAGGTAAGAAAATTTTTAGCAAGAACCAATCATCGAAGAACGTATTCGCGCGTAAGTTTTTATCTCTTTAACGTGATGCTTATTAAATAATAAATACATTTTATAACAATGAAATTTCCATCGTAATGTGAATTAGTATTTGTACTGAACAACATAGACACTGAGAGAAGTCTTTTTTTTTACCTTTCCATATTGAGATATAAAAGTTTCTTGTAATAGCAAAGTTTATCGAGTCATTAGTATAATCATCCTTAATACTTTGACTGCCGAGTGTGTGGAACCATGATGTATTTTCGTTATAAAGGAACCAACGATACGCCCGTATATTACTTTTATATATTATGTTACATTCAATGACATTGCGACAAAAGTTTTATATTGGAGCTCGAGTGAGCAACAACATAAATAACAAATTTCGGTTAATCGATATTTGTTGTCTCATAGATTGAAGCCACTTACACTTAATTCGATGCAAATTGTATCGAAAAGTAAGTTATTGTTGCGTGGCAGTCAATGTATTAATTGTAATTACATACGCTTCAAACGAATCTATGGAATCTATATTTATAGCGCATCGCAATCATAGCATCATAATCATAGTAAGTTTCGTAACATAATGATATATGATTACATTACTTATAAAATCGATTACAAATTAGACACATTCATTTCAATTCGATATATAATATAATAATATTTTATCTTGCAATAGGGAAAGAAAAATAATCGAATATATTTATTAAATAAGTTCATAATATTTCGATAAGAATATAAATTGGAC